AAACCCACCTGAGAAAAATACAATTTTGCAGCTTGATCAGAATACTGTCTTGCTGTCAATTCTTTGTGTCTCTTGTCCCTTTCACTCGCCATTCCCCCTTCTAGGGTCTCTGCTGAAGATCCCGCTGGCCAGGACAGGAGAGATTTGGGGAAGTATCAAAATTTTTCTGCTCATGGAAGGGACTAAGAAACATCTACCTTGGGTGCTGGAGAGATGTCTCAGCGGTTAAGATCCCTGGTTGCGGCTCTGCCTGGCAAGGTCGTGAAGGAAGGAGACTGTGGTGGTGTGGCCGTTTCTCCCACATTCCCGCTCTGCTCCCCTCACAGAGCTCCCCTCACAGAGCTCCACTGTGGCCATGTTGGGCCACAGTGTGTGGAGGTTCACCACGTCCACAGCCACTATGAGGAGGGCCCGGGGAAGAATTTGCCATTTTCGGTGGAAAACAAGTGGCGGTTACTGGCTATGATGACTGTGTTTGGATCTGGATTTGCTGCTCCTTTCTTTATTGTAAGGCACCAGCTACTTAAAAAATAAGGATATTTAATTCATCCCTTTAACAGAATGAAGATTGTTTAAGAGATGTGATCTGAAAATTGGATTAAACTCTTAAACTCTTATTACTAAATAAAATTGTAAATAAACTAGTGACAAAAAAGAAAAAAAAAAAAAAGAATCCCTGGTTGCTCTTCCAGAGGACCCAGGTTCCATTCCTTGCACCCACATGACAGCTCACAACTGTCTGTAACTTCAGTTCCAGAGGATCTGACACCCTCATACATACAGACATACATGCAAGCAAAACACCAGTGCACATGAAATAAAAATAAATAAAATTAAAAAAAAAAAAAAAGAAACATCTACTCCCATCCTTCTAATGTCTCAATGACAGCCAAGTTCAAAGGGGAACCAGTGAGTTTATTTGGCTTATGTACTGCAGGGTGACCCTAAAGCAAGCCAGTCTGGGAGGTCTGCACCCAGCATGGATAATAGCTGTGGAGGCGGAAACCCTTCCCCCAGCCTTCCCCAATTATATCCTCCACTCTGGACCCTGAAGACTGCAGCTTGAGCAGAACTGCATACAAGTGGCTGGGGGAAGGGGGCTGGATATTCAGGTCAGATTCCCATGACCCTCCCGTGCCCCTCTTTCTATGAGCAAACCTCTAAAGTCATCAGGTCCATCTGGGATGATCTTTGTCAAGCAGACACAGCAGAGTTCATGAAGATGGCAGCAGTTGGCTCAAAGGATGGGAGGACAGTGCTTGCTATTCAACAGGGGCTGATGATATGGCTCAGTGGGCATAGGAGCTTGCCATCAAGCCTGACCACCTGAGTTCAATCCCCGGAACCCATATGCTGGAAGGAGAGAACTGACCTCAATATTCGCACACATATAAGTAAATAAATGTAATTTAAAATGAGGTGGGAGGGGGAGAAGGAAAAATAGATTTGGGACGGATGACCTGTGGATGACTCTGGGTATGGGTACCGTGGTCAGTAGGTAGCACTGTGACAAGGCTGGGGATTGGGAGATCCAGCTTAATCACATGAGGACACTGACCTTGGTTTCTTGGACCAATTGGCACTTAGGGACCTCCTGTATGGTCTCAGAGGCTTGGCAGTTTGCCACTCATGCCACACAGGAGCCAAAGGTCTCCTGGAATAAACTGGTGGCCTGGTGACTTCAGAATACTTGGGATAGGACACCTTGGGGTTCACATGGATGCAAGGGAAGACTGACCCCACTCTTACCCAAGATGAGTCTGCTCGCCCTTTAATTGGTACAATCACTGAACTTCAGCACTGGGAATTGGGCTCAGGTCCTGCAGAAGAACAATGGCTGCTTTTAATTTCTGAGCCATCTGTCTAGCCTGGGGCTCAAGGTGTTAAATCACACATTACACTTTTGGTCACAGTCACACAGCAGCTGTCAGTGACAGCCCACGGGCCATACCCCATCAAAACAGAATATCAATTCCATATCCAGACGCCATCCCTTGTCACACGTGAAAACCCAGATCAATGCCCTCTCCCACCCCACACTTGCATAGGAGAGGCGCTAAGTCCTCGGTCCGACTCTGCTCTCTGTTTCGTTTGTGCACAGGCTCTCCTGCTGCTGCGGACGCCTCTAAAAAGCCAGGCAGCTCGCCTCCCAGCACCAGCACACCATGTGGATTATGTTAATCCTCGGGGGGGCAATACTGACTAAAACCCCACCAGAACAACAAAATGTTGGAGAGACTTGAGGCTGCACAGTGCTTATGTGCATCGTGAGGGTCCATCTCGCACAGGGGAGAGAGAGTATGGATATGGCTTGACATGATGGCAGCCATTTTAAGCTACAGCTGCTGTGACTGAGGCACCCCAGTTGGGTTTTCCTACATAGTTTGCTGGGAAACCATAACACAAGACTGTGAAAGCACACGTGCACTGGATGACGTGGAGGGATGTGCCTGGCTCTTGATGGAATCTGAAGATAAACCAGAGACATTCTGGCCTGAGAACACACTTTTTGTCCTAACTCATAATGACACTGTCTTCTGTCCCAGATGCAGGGACACACTCAGTGCTTGGCCACCCAGCTCCCCAGAACCTTCCTCTGCCGGTAAGTTTGCCAGTCTATCTCACTGTGTAGTCCTAGCTCTGTCTGCCTCTCTCCCTCTCCTTCTTCCCAGCATTGTCATCGGTGTGTTTATGTGTCCATCTGTGCTGGTGCGTTCAGAGTCTAGTGGTCCACATGGGGTGTCTTCTTCAATTACTCCCCACTTAAAAAAACATTTAAAATGGCATGTGTTGTTGTTTTGAGACAACATCTCACTATGCTGCCCTGGCTGGCCTGGAACTCTCTGTAGACTCACTGAGAGTCTCCCTCTGCTCCCCAAGTACTCAGATTGAAGGAGTGGGACACCACACCCGGCTTCAATACACCATGGGTGTCCAGATCAGAGGAACACTTTTAGAAATAAATCCTTTCCTTCCATGTGGATCCCTGGAATTGAATCAGGCTTGGTGGCAAGCACCTTTACCCACTGAGACTTCTCACTGGCCCAATACCTTATTTTTCGAAGATAAGATCTTGCACCCAAAACCTGGCTGGCCTGGCCATCTGGAAAGCAAGTCCCAGGGGTCCTCTGGTCTCCAACTCCGAGTAGTGGGGTTGCAAGCTTGCACCATCATGCCCAGCTTTTATCCCAGGGGCTGGGGATCCAGGCTCAGGTCCCCATGCTTGCATAGCATTTCCTGACTGAGCCAACTCTACAACGGCATCTCTTTCTTTGGTCCTGAGCACCTAGGGCCAGGGATTACTCCAGAAGAGGTGGTGTGAAGGTTCTCTGGTTTCTTCTCCCAGATGAGAGGGAGGAGCCACCCACACAAACAACTCTGTTTGAGCTCATTCCTTCGGTTCCCCTGAAAAGGTGACACACCCTCTCACTTCTAGGGAACTGGCAGGAGCCAGCCCCAGAGGACAGGAGGGGATTTAGGGGCCAGGAGGCGCTCAAGACAACAAGTGTGGGCTGAGCGAGCTGGGGACAGCCACTGTCAGCAGGCGATCAGCAGGTGAGAAGGTTAGTCTGCCCCTCTACCTGCTCCCCCAAGCAAAGAACATCCCTTCTCTTACCCCTTACAGCATCCTGCTCCCTGCCTGGCTTCCAGAGGGGCGCTGGCGGCTCTGGGGATGTCCTCCGAAAGGGACCTTCCCTTGGTAAGGGAAGGGAACCTTGGAGGCTGAGGCTGCAGGCTTGGAATTCACAGCTCTGGGTCCACTGGAGAACAAGGATGAGGAAGATGCCCCACCTTCCATATCCCCTTTCAAAACTAGCCTTGCCTCCACCAGCGGGAATCCACACAGGATTAGGAGTCTGGATTAAACACCCTTGGTGTACCATAGGGCACTGAGGCCCACAGAGGGGAAGGATCCTGCCTCTGTCACCAATGATGCACAAGAGTCCAGGAAAAGTCCCTAATTTTAAGGTCCTGAGGACCTGCACTCTGACCCTGACAGCTGGGCTTGTAGGAGGTACCAGGAAGGATCCTTGGTGATGAGCCGGGAGGTGACACTTACCAGGACACTGCAGAAGTTTTGGGACCACGAGAGGAAGCAGGGGTAATGGATGTGAGCCTCTGTGAGTGGAGAGATAGCTAAGGTGGTCTCCTGGGCAGGGGACACATCCCAAGCCGGGAATGAGGGTAAAGCACAAAGTACACAGTGTTCTCTGTCTCCCACCTCCCTCTCCATTTCTGACCTTGTCCCCCACCACTCCGTCCTTGTCTCCTTGTCTGTGTCTCCCTCCCTCTCCCACCCCCCACTCCCCATCTATCCTTTCCTATAGCTGTTCCTCCCTAGCAGGCCCTGTCCCCAGAACCTGGGTCTGGGGCCTCATACCTGGAACATTCCCTGAGCTAGGACAAGATCCACCATGGGCCTTATGAAAAGAGAGGTACTGCTCTGAGTCAACCCTCCCCGCAGCCTCCCCCCCCCCCACTGAGAGCACCAGGAACTCTCCTGCTGCTAATCACTCCCCCAGAAGACTCAGGGCTCTGAGACCCATCACTGAAGTGAGTAACCACAGTCCTTCAGGACCCTGAGTGTTTAGTGTCCTGCTCCAGATGGACTGTGTGGGGAAGTCCCCTACAGCCTCATCCAGCACAGAACAGTGTCCTGGAGTCCTACTAGGCGCCATCAGAGACCCTTGGGAGCCCTCACACTAGTACATGATGGAAAAGAAAGGGAAGTCCCTCCGCCTGTGGCCCCTTTGCCTGAAACTGGTGGTCTCTGCAAGGAAGCACCTCACACAGGAAGGGTTGGCCAGCCAGGAGGAGGGCAGAGAATGCTGCCTCAGAGCACAGCAGGTGTTGGGGAGGGGGCGAGATCACAGGCAGCTAGGAAAGGGGGCCAAGCCCACACCAACTCCAGAAGCCGGGGACGCCTGATGTCTTACCTCCCACACCCAGAGCACTGTCACCCTTTGCAGGGGCCTCCCAGATCACCCACGGAAGCCAGCCAGGATGTTCTCCATATTCAACATCTGGGGCACGTTCAACAGTGTACTCTTCTACCTCAGCCTCCTTGTCAGCCTGGCAGGGCTGGGGGGCAACGCTCTGCTGCTCTGGCACCTTGGTCTGCACATCAAGAAGGGCCCCTTCAACATCTACCTGCTGCACCTGGCCGCTGCCGACTTCCTCTTCCTCGCCTGCCAGGTGGGCTTCTCTATTGCCGAGATCGCCCTGGGCTACGAGGACACACTCCACTTCCCGATCATCTTCTTGTGGTTTGCTGTGGGGCTCTGGCTGCTGGCGGCCTTCGCTGTGGACTGCTGCCTCGCCTACATGTTTCCCTCCTGTTGCAGCCCCAGCTGCCGCCCCAGGTACACCTCAGCCGTGCTCTGTCTCCTGATCTGGGCACTGACCATGCCGGCTGTGCTCCTGCCGGCCAATGCCTGTGGACTGCTGTACAAGGGGATGAGCTTCCTGGTCTGCCTCAGTTACCACTGGGCCAGCGTGGTCTGGCTAGTGGTGCTGGCGGTCATGGCCTGTGGGGCAAGCATGATTCTCTTGATCTGTGGCAACTGCTGCTCTGGGCAGCCACTCCCCAAGTTCTGCAAAGTGGCCCAGTGCTCCGGGATCCTGCTGTTCTTCTGCCGCCTGCCCATGGTGGTCTACTGGAGCCTGCGGCCGGTCATAAAATTCCTGCTCCCCTTCTTCTTGCCATTGGCCACCCTCTTAGCCTGCATCGACAGCAGCGCAAAGCCCCTCTTGTACTACATGAAGGGCCGGCAGCTCAGGAAGAAGGAGCCGCTGCAGGTAGTCCTAAACAGGGCTCTAGGGGAGGAGTCCCCGTCAAGCCTTGGGGGACTATCCCTGCCTATGAGGCAAGTGTAGAGTGGCCGGCCATCCTATGCCCACCTGCCCTGCCCTCATAGCTGCCAGGGGACCCCCCTTCCAGTCTTGCTCAAACTCTTGCCATGTCCCAGCTCTGCCCTCTCATGAAGGGAACGAGGCCAGGTTGCATGTTGAACATGCAAAGGACATGGTAAGGACAGGAACAGACAGAGGGCCAGGGGCAAAAGGAGGACCCCAGAGCTACAGTGAGGGCACGTGTCCTGCATCCTTCTGCCCCTGTGGCAGCCAACCCAAGAAAACTGCCCTTCAACCCCAGTGGGCCTGGCAAGGGGAGCTTTGCTTTGCCTCCTGCGGTAGACGGGCCAGGTGACTGGAGGCTCAGCATCAGCTCCTGGGGGGCATTCGCTGCTCTTGGGGGCCACTGACCCTTCAGCTCTGTCCACAGAGGCCTTATGTTGGATGCATCCACTACAAGGCTTCGTCTAAACTGCTGTTTCTCCCTCCCTCGTCCCAGCATTCCCCACAAAAACGTTCACAGTCCAGGTGGCTACTGCCTCCCCAGTTCTCCAGCCTGGTGTCACTCGTGAAGGCCACAAGGTGGTGCTGTTTTACCACTAAACAGACGAAGTCTGTCCTGGCTCCAGGGCCACTCCAAGTAGTTGCATCCTGGTTACTTCTGCCTCTCAGGTGGCCCCAAAGAACCTTCACAGTGCCAGCAGGGCACCCCTGGCTTCTATCCAGACCCCATCGCTTTCCCTCGGCTTCTCCAAGATTGTGCTCAGCCAAGCTGTCTCTGCAGACTCCACCCTGGCCTGCCAGCCAGCTTCACCTTCAGTTGGAGAAAAGAGGAAGGGAGCCAAGCTTCCCAAGTGCACACTGTTTCTGTATGTTTTATGATGGCTCTTTAAAACAAAACAAGACAAACAAACAAAACTGCTTTCGTTGTCATTCTTAAAGCATTCAGGCCCTGGGCCTGGAGAGAAGGCTCGGCATTTGAGAGCACTGGCTGCTCCTCCCAAGGACCTGGGTTCAGTTCCCGAGACCCGCGTGCCTGCTCCAGGGGATCTGGCACCTTCTTATGGCCTCTATAGGCACTGCATGCACATAGTACACAGACATAACACCCAGACACATGACATAAAAATGTAAAGAACAGCATTCAAACCTTACCAAGAACACCAGGGAAATAAGTCGCCAACACGCTTTCCAGCCAGATGGAAACATCTGGTATGAAAAAGAACATTCCACCCATGTATCTTTCTGACAGACACCCTCAGAAAACTCCTCTCTTTTGTGTATGTATAGGGAAGGGCATATGTATACGTGCCCATGAGGGTGTGAGTGTAGGTGTAGATACATGGGCATGGAGGCCAGAGGCCAGCCTTGGGTTGTCTATAGTAGGCATTTGCAGCTTTTAGACAGAGTCTCTCACTGGGCCCTGGGGCTTGCTGACTAAGCTAGGTTAGGTGGTCAGCAAGTTCCACCTGCCTCCATCTCCTCAGCCCTGGAATTCCAAGCATGCATCACCACACCTGGGCTTTACATGGGCTCTGGGGACCCGATTCAGGTCCTTAGGCTAACACAGAACACACTTCACCAACTGAGCTGTTTATATTGACATTTTAATTCAAAGAAAAGATGTTCTTTTCCATGCTCTGTGAGACCCAGCACAGTGACCTGACTGCTAGATAAAGCTGTGTTTTTCCATTTGAAAGGTGCTACTTTCTCTGGGGACTTTGGAGAATGTTCTTAGAATGGAAAGAAACCCCTGCTTGTAGCCCCAGCCAAAAGGAACCACCTCTGTAGGGTGTATTCCTCCCCAGGACACGACTGAAGCCATCCCATGTCCCCAGTCCTCCTTGGGATGGAGCCCTCAGAACTGGAGAGGTTCCAACAGGGAATCTGGTAGATGTGAGACCCTTAGACTAAAGGCCAGCTTGGGCTCAGAAAGGGTGGGTGGAGGACCCAGTGGATGAGGCCGCTTTGGAGAGGCAGATTGGGAAAAATCTGCCTATTTCATGAATTTCACACCAGACCCCAAGGAATAGAGTGGTCTCTTCCCAGAAGGCTTGCCACTGAGATAAAGGTGAAATAAATCTGAGGTCAGCTGTACCCTCTTTGCCTAAGGACACAGATGCAGGCCCTCTAGGGTGTCCATCTGTGTGCCAAGGTGACAGGTGAATATCACAGCAGCTGACAGCCCTGGAGCATATGATAAATGAGTTGATCTAGACAGATGGGGGGCGGGGACATAGGACCTCTGCTCCCCAGGCCATTGCTGGGTATGAGGATGTTAGTGAAGCCCAGAGGCAGCAGCAGTCATGTCTATCCTAAGCTTAGTGGGGCTCACATGGAGTGTCAAGGCTGCTCTTGGGGTAGCTTAAATTGAGGCAGATGCAAGACAGTCCTGACTCCATCCAAGGGTGGCTAGGCTCCTGCCTTCTGGCACCTCTGTAGCTGGATGACCTCTAGGGGGTCACCTGGCAGCTCAAAACCAGTTCTGCAGAAGAGGCAGAAGTTTGCCAGGACAGCTGAGCCAGGCTTTAGCAGCAGATATTCTGCCCTAACCTTCAAAGCCAAAGCCATCACACCTCTCATGGCAGATGGAGATGCCCTGTGCACCCTGCCTATATGACGTCACACCTCCTCCGCCTGGTTGCTTGCCTTTGTCCTGCTCAGGGTGTTGTTTGTTGACTATGGTTCTGTGGCTCCTGGCAGCAGGAATCTGTTCTCAACGCTTCTTACCTGTCTGGGGACCACACATACATACCACACAGCAAACCTGACCTGCTTGGTTCTGCATCTCTCACGAGCAGGTGTGCTCCTGAGGGCTCAGAGTCAGCAAGCAGCAGTCACGCCGTCCCTGGATGGGAGGAGGAGCCAGGAAACATGGATCCGATGAATGGAGGGACTGGTAGGTGCTCAGTGGAGAATAAGGTCAAATGAATAAATGATACAACTGATGGACGCTGACTGTGCTGGCTATGAGTTCTGGAAGCTTCCCAGCCAGCTCAACCTGATCACAGACACCAGACTCAGGCTCAGGTTTGCTTAGTGTGGAGCCAGATTCCCAGGGCTCCCTGATTCCAGCAACTCCATTCTGGGCCCTGGGTGTGGTGCTGGGGGTGTGGACCTGTCACAATGGCTCCTGGCCCAAGGAGTTTCTTTCTATATTACCCTCCATCTTATTCTTAACCCTGGAGCTCACTGGTTTGGCTAAACTAACTGGCCAATGAGCTTCAGGGATCCTTCTGTGTCCACTTACCCAGTGTGTGGGTTACAGGGTCACCACACTCGGCTTCTTATGTGGGTGCTGAGGATCCAAACTCAGGTCCTTATGCTGCATAACAAGCTCTCTGTTGACAGAATCACGTCCACAGCCCCCAAACTGACATTTCAACAGTGGTGTTTTCTGACCTATGAATGAGATCTAGCCCTCCGCCTCCCCGTAGCCCTGTGCTTCTATGCCTTCTCCTTTGTGGCTTTCCATACAAGTGTCTTGGCACATATCTTGCAAGTTCTCCGTGAGGTATTTGTGGTTTCTGCGTGCTGTGTACACATGATCTCTGCATTCTTGCTCTCCAGCTGTTAGCATGGACTTGATTCTGTCTAATGGCTGTCCTTTCGATCTGCTGCGTTCGCTGACGTCTTCCAGGACCTTTTTGGAAATGTCTGAGATTTGCAAATAATCATGTTCTCTCTATCTCTGCCTTTCATTCTATCCTATAGCAAGCATCATCCATCATAAAGGCTGTCTTTAGGACGGAACCACACAGATAGTCATCACTGTTTTATCCCCAGTCTCACAGGGAAAGTGCTTTTCCTTCACCACTAAACACAATTCAGGCATCAGCCATTAAGATCACTTGCTGCTCTTGCAAATGACTAGGATTTGGTTTCTCACACCCACAGGGCAGCACACAAGTACCTGTCGCTCCAGTTTCAGGGTATCTGGCTCCCTCTTTTGGCATATGTGAGTACTGCATGTATGTGCATGCATGTAGTGATTATACACACTTGCAAGCAAACTCTCATATATAGATATAAAATAAAAATAAATATTTAAAAAAAACTGATCCAGCTGCAGGCATATTGCTTGTTTGTGTATTCCAACCATGCTGGTAAGTTCTACATACTCCCAGTTTTCCAAGAACATTTCAAACATGCATGTATATTAGATATTGTCAATAGTTCTTTCCTTCAACTGCTAAAATGATCACACAGTATTTCCCCTTTGTCTGTCAAGGGGGTGATTTACATTGATTTTTTTTTTTTGTTTTTTTGTTTTTGTTTTGTTTTGAGACAAGGTTTCTCTATATAGACCAGGCTGGCCTCGAACTCAAAGATCTGTCTGCCTCTGCTTCCCAAGTGCTGGGATCAAAGGTGTGTGCCACCACCACCCAGCTACATTTATTTTTTAAAAATACTTTTTATTATTTTTAATTATGTGTATGGGACAGGCGATAACAGTTTAGATCAAGACTGTAAAACATCAGTAGTGAACTTCTGCCCTCCGGGGTTCTCCCATTGTGCTGTAAGCCTGTATTTAAGACCTCCTCCCTCCTTCAATAAATGGCATTCGGCATAAAAAAAAAAAAAAGCCAAGTTATAACGCAGTAACCAGTCTTCATGGGAGAATCTCCTGCTGAGAACCTGCTCTTAGGTGGAGACAGCCCCAGCCCCTCCAAACAAGCATATAGTCCCTCCAGCAAGGGTGGCAGGTGGCTAGGCAGAGTTAATGGTCTGGAAGAGGCTGGCTGCAGGGGGTGCCTAAGAGACACTGGATGAGGGCGTTTGGCAGCTTCCTGTGGGGAGGTAGGTAGACCCAGCTTCACCAAAGGCAGGAGAGCCAAGCAGACAGATGGGAACCAGGAGGACCTGGCAGGGTGCCGTCTTCATTGATGCCTTATTATATGAAGGGGGGCTGCTTAGAATATGCACGGGGAAGGGGGCCAACTTCTCAGCCTAGGACAGCCACTCGGGAGTAGAGTTGGGGAGCTATTCCCCACCCCCAAATATTGACTCTTTGCTCTCACAGGCTCCAAAATCCTATTGGTGCTGCACTTCAGTGGGGGTAGAGTTGGATAAACTGACCCACCAAAATAGGAAAGGAAAATGACTCGGGAGATCTTTTCTCACATAAGGGCTGGACTAGCTCTGGCCACAAGCGAGAGGCAGAAGAGCAACAGTGTCCCCCAGATGCTGTGGGGAGAAATGTGGAGGTCCTGAGCATCCAGGAGAGCTGTGGAACTGGATGTGGCCTCATATAAGGTGCAGCCATTTATTACATATCATCACTGCCACTACGCAACCTTGTTCACTGTCACCATCACCACTAACATCAAGGTCATCATCACTACCATCACTATCGTTACCCTGAGCAGCAGCAGCAGCATATCACCATCATCAACCATCACCGCTATCAACATCATCACCATCATCACTGCTTTCTTCATCACCACCATTGCCATCATCATCGCCATCATCAACATCACTACCATCATCATCATCATTGCCATCATCATCACATCATCACAATTGCTTTCTTCGTCAACATCATCACCACTCCTCCCCTAAGGCATCCACACTGTCTGCCAAGGACAAATGCCAGTTCAAGTGATCATGGGGTCAGGAGCCATGTCTCTGACTTGATACTGTCACTATTGGACACAAGCCTGCTAGGTGCCCAGTCGATAGTGAATGGAGGAGAGGAGAGTGTAGATGTAACCAACCGTCTTATTAAATAAGAAACACAGAAACAATGTAAAAGAGAGAGCCGAGAAGTCAGAGCTCAGAGCTAAAATCTCACCCTTCCTCCTGCTGTCCCAGCTTCGCGAAAAGAGACCTACT